TTTTAATAGTGATGTTTTAACGCGAGGGCAACTTCGGATGGAATGCGAAGGTTGAACGTGCATTCTGTACGTGCATTCAGTACTCCAAGCTAGTGTTGTGCTTTTACACATCGACATTTGTAGCAGTGCCCACACAGCATATATACTGTGTACAGTTAAACAACGCCAGTGTTTTCTTGTTAGTACCATGTGCCTCTGAAGATGGTTTTACTAAAACCGAAACATGTAAGGCAAGAGTGAGAAAGAAGTGACCTAAAAAACATTGTTACACTCGACGGACTTTGTATTGATTTTATGTATAATAGTGTAACGGACCAAAATGAAACAATTTAAAAATGTGTATGCAACGTTTTCCTATGACAGTGATTTGACGAGGAAGGAAGAATGCATTGGTTGATTGATTGATTGATTGATTGATTGATTGACTGATTGATGTGAAATGGACTGAATTAGTTACTCTGTTGAGAAATTTTATGTTGTCTTAAATTTTTAATATAGTTTTATATGGTATGTTGGACATGTACACAATTTGTGTATGTAGTTAAATATTATAGTATTGTTGACTTTTATAAAATAATTTGACTTCTTCTATATCTGGAGGCTGTATTGCAAAATGTGGATATCTGAAACCAATAAAAATATGAATATGAACTTTCACACACTGCAGGCTTTGAATTCAATGCCATAAATTATGAAAACACACGAAAGCTAAAAGACTGTTCAGTTATCTCAAATCATGGTATATTAATGAAAGAAGTAACAAGAAGACTTGCAGAAAACACAGTCAAATGCTGACTCTGTACCAAAACAGTTATGATATGTGTTACAAACAATGAAGAAAAATCTGACTGTCAGTTTCTCAGTGTGTATGTGTGTATAACCACATAAAGTTGTGCCATTACCAGAGTTCCTTGTTATTGCTTTTAGGACCTCAGGCAGATTAAAATGCACTGCATAATTTCCAGTAACTGTCCACCTTACAATGCATAACTAAAAATACCAGTATTCATCACATCACTAGTGACAGATTTCTGACATATGACATAAACAGTAATGATATACACTACATGTAAACTGCCAGTTCCATGGAAGCATGAAATACCAATGATCATTATGTCAGGCAGACATCCATAATATTCTTACATAATTTGTATATACATACATCCTTACACTGTACAGAGACAGATATATAGTATGTATTTTTATAATGGATATGTTCATGAACATTCCTGAACTCATTCTTGTTTCAAAAATAAATTGAAAAAGAAAGCACTACTTCTGCAGTGAAAGAAGAGAAGAGAGTTTAACATACAAAACCTTTGACAAAGCCAAGACAACTGTTCAAATATCTTACCCTCAAGAAATAATGTCCATCCTTGTGTTTTAGAGATACTGGATCTACACTATCTTCTGACTGTTCAGCCGGCAGACTGGAAACTGCCTGAGACTGTTCAATGGGTAGAACTACTTCAGGTGCTGCAGGCTGCAGGTCTGTGAGGCTTTCTGTCAAGCTTTCTACTGAAATTTGCTGCTGAAGTGGTATAACCTCTGCTGTAGACCTAGAACAATAAAGAAAACAATAACATAATGTATTCATGCACTTAAAAATATAAATCATTCCTTCAGAAATAAACTACTCACATTTCTCACTTTATTTTTCCTTCAAAATCAACAGTGTGCAACAAAATTATTTAAAAGCAGACATAATATACATATTCACCTTACTCTAATCATCATACAATCTATGCCATTTTTTTCTAAAAGATATGCGTGAAAGAACAAACAAAATTTTCACTGCTCTGTATGTGTGAAGAAGCATAAACGTCATTAACACACATCAGTTATGGTCAGGCCTGTTAAAAACCAAATGTCATAAGCTGTTGGTGTTAATTCATGGGACACAGTGCACCTTGTATATGAATCAGTGATTAAACACAGATGTGTAAATGAGAGTGTAAATTATACAAACTTGCATAACTCACTCATCCGAGCAAAGCCCAACATTCCATACTATTTCCTATATCATGATAACACAACTCAACTATTAAAATCAAACACATGAATCCACACTGCAGACCTGGGAGATATTCACTAACAGTACCATGTCAAAAGGAAGAATATAGGCCTGAGGATGCAACCAGGAAGCAGTATACTCTACATACGATGTCATGGTGACAACTTCTAAAATGAATGTCCATTCATGCCATGAGAGAGTTTGGTCTTTTCCATTAACACTATCATTAGAGGTATCAAACATGTGCCACTTTCTTGACTGTGGGAGTGTAATGCAACACACTGCAGAAAAACAAACACATATTGCACATTTCTGGCTTCAACCATGCAGGATTTGTGACTTCTTTTTCTATTACGTGACATTACCACAGTTCCCATTTTTAAGAGAACTTTATATGAAAAAGGCACATCTAGTGTCACTATATCATGTAATATTTTATTTTAAATAAAAACAGAATTCCTCAATATTTTCTGTATCTATTTAAGACATGTATACAATTAATAAAGCAGTAACTCTATTCTTCACAGAATGCCAAGCAACTGTGATGAACCAGGAAATACTAGGTGGTTCAAATATGACCGGGACTGATTTTTTTGTAAATAAGCCACACTGCGCAACAGCTGTGACACCTTGAGAGAGTGAAGCCACAACCTCCACCCTCCCTCCTGTTAGGGTTAGAACCTGTTCAGTCCTGTCTGGAAGTTGCTAGAGTGATGAGTGAACAGAAGGTACTGCGGAGCGTGGAACAACGCATTGTGATCAAATTCCTCGTTGGAGAAAACGTCCAGTCCACTGAAATTCACCACAGACTCCAACAACAGTATGGGGAAGAATGTCTCTCACGGACCCGTGTGTTTGAGTGGTGTAAGTGCTTCAGAGAGGGCAGAGAGGGCGTGGAGAATGAACTGCGTGATTGTCGGGGGGCGAACATCCGTCACCAAGCCAAACATTGATCATGCAGACGCATTTATTCGTGAGAATAGGCGCATCACTATCAAGGAACTTGGAGCAATGCTGTCCATCAGTGTTGGTAGTGTAGAAGACATCATGAAATACCACCTGCACTATCGCAAGGTGAATGCACGGTGGGTACCACGCACTTTGACGGACGTGAACAAAATGGTGCGCATACAAGCTGCCACTCGTCTCCTACAGCAGTTTGAAGACGAAGGTGATGCATTTTTGAAGTCTATAGTGACCACCGATGAAACATGGGTGCACTACTTCATTCCCGAGTCCCAGCAATCATCACGCGAGTGGCGGCATACCAGTTCTCCCAAACCCAAGAGAGCGCGGAAGAGCCATTCGGCAGGAAAAGTGATGGCAACGTTCTTCTGGGACTGGCTGGGGGTTATCCATGTAGACTTTCTGACAGATGCCAGAAGCGTCAATGCAGCTTATTACTCAGACCTCCTGGCAACAGACGTGAAGGAAAAGATCCGATCGAAGCAGGAGAGAGGTGGTAAGCGGGTAGCCTTCTTTCAAGACAATGCATGCCCCCATACAGCCAAAACAACAATGGAAACCCTCTTGAAATTGAAATGGAACCTTCTGACACATCCGCCATACAGTCCCGATTTGGCACCAAGTGATTTCTACCTGTTCGGAAGGCTCAAATCAGACTTGCAAGGCATGTGGTTTGTGGACGACGCTGTCATCCAGAATGTTCGGGAGTGGATACGCCGCCAACCACAAAACTTTTTTGAAAAGGGCATCAGGATGCTTCCAGAACGTTGGAAAAAATGTGTTGACGCCGGAGGGGAGTACGATGAAGACTGACATGTGCAAGTAAGTGTTTTGCAATTTTGGTTTAAAAAAAAAAACAGTCCCAGTCATATTTGAACCACCTTGTATATATGCTACTGAATTAGCAGTAACTTTTCATTCTTTAATTGTGGTCACTTCCTTTTATTCTGGCAGGCAACTATCATAAAATAGCGTTTATGGGACAGTCTACATGGATCCATACTATTACAATATTTCACAACTTGTTTTCATGAACACACCCTTTTGTTCAAACATAATCTAACAAATACATCTTTAAAATTAAGCTTAAAATTAAAATTAAATATATGGTTTGGATTAATATGAATATATTTTTAATCTTAAAAATTAAGTACAAAAATTATGCTTTGATTTTAAGATTGATTTTAAATCAGCTTAAATACTAGAAGTTTTTAGGTTTGTCAGATTTTGCTATGGTCATCATTAGATGGTAAGGCATAGGCGAAAACAACGTAAGGAAGCCCTTCTGGGAGTCTCCATCGCATTTGTTTACTTCTTTACCATATCTGAAATTGAATTATACAATATTTATAATATGTTTCAATATATTCCTTTAAAGAGCTGTGCAGTATGTGTAATGTGGTGTGAAGTAGTTACCTATGTATCATGCAGTGGACTCCTAAGTGCTTTCTTTATGTCACCCCAGCAGTTTTGTTTTCCACATATGGTAAGTTTTTACCATAACAACAGTATGTGTATATGTTATCTATATGTGATTATATTGTGTTTCAACTTTCTTTGGTTTATTAGTTATTGTGCTTACTCGCTTATGTATGTTGTGTTGTGTGCAAAGAGACCCCCTGTTTTTATGTTTTAGTGTTCACATTGCGGTTTTGTCTAAACAGCTTGCTTATTTCTGCTGTCATGTGTACCTAATGATTGTTATGTGGTGTGTGGTGCATGGAGGGTGGGTTGTGTGGGGCAGTGATGGGGATTACATTGGGGTATTTTTAATTGTGGGGTTATGTTTTTATTCACTCTCACCCACTCACTCTTTCATGGAGCTGAGCCCTTCTTGAGCATCAGTTAAAGTTTGTTTTTTCTTTATGGCACCTATGTTATCACCCAGTAGATTCACATCATCACCACAGACCAACAGCTGATGTGTCCCGTTTAATTTCAGTATGTGTACGTGTTCCTTATATCAAACTTTAGCGGCCTCCGTAGTCAAGGGGTAATGTTCCCACCTCATGACTCAAGGTACGCGGGTTCAAACCCGACGGAGGTCATGGAATTTTTAAGGGCGGAAAAATTCAGGGAACAAGTCCTCCAGAAGGGACTTTAAGCCGTGGGTCCCGTGTCATAGCTTTACGGAACGTAAAAGAACCTCATGTCTCCAAAGGAGGCCATTGAGCCAAATTAAGGACATTTCCCGCCCAACAGTAGTCTCTAACGCCTCTGGTAGATGGGGGAAGCATCGAGATACCTCTGAGCCGTTAGAGGCCGACCTCACTGGCTGAGTAGGGACTGATGGTAAGCACCAGTACCGGTAGGGTATAGAGGCTGGTAGAAGATCATAAGGGGACGCACAATAGATCAAACTGGTAGGGCACATGGGGAAACCCACCCCCTCCAATAACAATAACATATATCAAACTTTAAACGTACATCCCATTTGCCTGACATACTTGAGTGGACATTCATTGCATTTCAATTGATTTACTCCACTTAAACTGTATGTGTCTAATGTTTTGTCCCTTGATTTTAGATGGTGTTTTATTGTGTTTGTAGTTCCGTACACTATTTTTATAATATTTCTAAATAAATTCTAAATAATTCTCGTGTCTGCACCGCAGTATGTGAAGGTGGGCCAATTTGTCTTCTGTGTATCATGTGGGACATTGGTGGGAGGTTTATGTTTTTGTTTCTGGCATATGATTTGTTGTTTGTACCCGCTATTTTTAGTATCTCTTGCATGATTATCTGTTCCTGGTCTTCATTTTCTTGGGTAAGTGGGTATATGTTCATATGACTAATTAAACAATTTACAGCTGATTTTTTACATCTGTATGGGTGACATGAATTATTACTGTCACATGTAGGAAGGAATACATGATGAAATTACGGGTTCTAGTTTGGATGACTGGATTTTTTTGGATCATGCCTTACTATATTTTCGTTCTTCGCCAAAACGGGACATCCTGATGTTAAATGGTCTATAGTTTCTTCATATTCTTTACACAGTCGACATTTACTTCCGATCTCTTCTTTCAATATTTTTTTCTTAAAATAGTTTGTACTGATTGCTTGGTCCTGAGCTGCTACGATTAAGCTCTCTGTTTCCCCTTTAATGCTTCCAAATTTCAACCATCGACAGGTCTGTTCCTTATCCACCAGAGTGTCATCTAAGCTGCGTGGGTATTGTCCGTGCATTCTTTTCTTTTCCCATTTTTCTTTTGTGTTCTGAGCTATTGCCTTTTTTTGTAAAAAAATTCGTGTGCTTGTGGGCTGTGTTAGGCGAAGAACTTGTGTTGCGTTGGTGTGTCCTAACAATTTTCATAAGTTGATCTTCTGTTCCTTCTATATATTCCGCTAGGTTTCCGCCTCTATCTGTTATCAGGCCTCGTCCTCCCTCTTTTCTAGGAACATACAGATGGTCTATATCTGCTCTTGGGTGATGCTGTCCGTAGGTAGTTAACATTTTTCCTGTTTTCCTGTCCAATTTTTGTATTTCCTCTTTGTGCCAGTTAATAATTCCAAAACTGTATCTCAGTACTGGTACTGCCAATGATCCAATTGCTTGCATTTTGTTTTTTGCATTCAGCTCTGTGTTCAAAATCAATCTTAGTCTTCTTACATACTCCTTCTTCAACCTTTCTTTCTCTTTCTTGTGTTCTATCTGGTGGTTCTCTTCTATTCCCAAGTACTTATATGCTCCATCATCATCCTTGTCGTCGTCGTCGTCATTATTATTATTATTGTTGTTATTATTGTTATTATTATTGTTGTTGTTGTTATTATTATTGTTATTATTATTGTTATTGTTGTTATTATTGTTGTTATTGTTGTTGTTGTTATTGTTGTTGTTATTGTTATTATTATTATTATAACCAGAACATGCTATAGTGTAATCCTACCATAAGGTTGGTATATTTAAAAATAAAATATCAAAACTCAAAACAAAATTTACTTCTTCTAGCTATAATAGAATAACTGCAAAACACTTCTATCAAAATGAAAACTATTACAAGAATGCAAAAGAACAATATAATATTAAGAAAGCAGTCTTCTTGGATGTGGCACCATGTAGATGTGGTGTTAAACAACGTTTATTTCCAATGTTAGTCTGCTTGCACCTGTTCCCACTGTCTCTTCGCTTGCAACTTCTACCCTGAAGACTGAGGCAATACATTCCTCTGAAACGTCGGTTAACACCACATCTACACGGTGCCACATCCCAGAAGACTGCTTTCTTCATAGTCACCGCCGTGAAAACCTCAAATCTTACACAATCTAATATTACTCGTAGAAGCAAATAATCATGATTTTTTGCATGCTTTGATTGCTTTACTTCTGTCTTACCGCTTAGGTATGTCTGTAATGTCTTCTTCAACAGCAGATGTATCAGCATTACGTTCATATAGTTTCTTAGTTGAAGGTCCTAAAGATAACTGAGCACGAAATTCTGGGCGTAAATGCCTCAACACTGGCAGTGAAGGACTAGTGCTATTATGGTGGCCATTGTGTAGAATACAGCCTTCAGAGGGACCCTGAAAACATAACAAACACACCTTTTAAAACCAAATTATGCATTCTCGAACAAATCTATAGTTCCGTTGTTTCAAAGTGGCAAATTTCCAGGAAAATACCTGTATCATGAACATGCAATACCACCGTTAGGCAGACTTAGATACATAATGACTCATTACAACTGAAAGGAACAAAACACAAGCACATGGATTAACAGTTCTTTTTCTTTAAGATTTCCTTTTACCACTTTAGAAAAACATAAAAGTTAGTGGAAATTACTACACAATACCAACTGTATTAGCTTTGTTTCCTCAAATGACTTTAAGTGAAATTACATCTAAACACCCTTTCACTAACATTTCCTGTATGCATGGACTTTTTATCTCTTATCCCCAACATCTGAGTTTGCTACTTTTTACACCCATGAAAATAACTGATGCTTAGCTGAACATAATTTTCTCTAAAAAATGCAAGAATCTAGCAATAAAGTGTTGCTGAGCATTTAGAAGAATAAGTACTTAAAACATCAAGGCAATGACAAAATACTCTTTTCCCAATGCCAAAAATTAAAAAATCAGGATACTACAAAACTTAATTTGATTTTAGAAACAGTATTATCGAAAGATAAAGTTGTCCCTGTGCTTAACTAATTAACCACTATGCCATGAGGACGTATGGGGGAGTAGATGTATAGACACACATTTTCTTAACCTTGGCACATGCTGGGGGTGTGGTCAACCTCACGCACCTATCAAAAGGCATTAATAAAATATGCCAATGGTTAAGGATTCCATAATGAAGTTCCATATTCTGGGCTGCGAAGTCATATCATTCATTTTTTCATAATTAGAATATACATCTTCATTAAAGATTTTTAATCTGAACATTATTTATCAATTCCTTTATGGCATGCGATCTTTTATCTTCTCATGCTATAAAATACATGCACTCTATTGTGGGAACCCCCACATACTAACACGCGGCTTCGTCTGTCTAACAGACAGCATTCAACTTCTGCTCAAGCCAAGTCACATTGCAACTGACTGTCAGTCAGTCAGTCAGTAAGTCTTGGTGTTGAACTGACTGGCATTTACAGTCTTGTTTTTATGTGGTACCCTCTTTGACATGAGGGCAGGTCTGCCTTTTGTATATGCTGCTGGTCCTTGCCAGTGCAGTCTTTCTCGAGTCTGAGTCCGTTGGGACTCGTGACCATATTTTACTGTCTCAGATTTGAGACTTCCCTTTTCGTCGCCTCCTACGACTCGCAGGGTCACGGTGGAGGTATTCGATCCCGCCTCCACATTGCGGCCAGCACTTGTATTTATACAGCACTCGATGTCCAGCCCACCTGTAAATCATCACGTGCGCTAGCCAATCAGTGCTCACAATCACAACTGCAACTTTAGCTCCGCCCAACAAGCATGGTATAAAAAGCGGAGCTCAAAACACGCTATCATCAGTTCCTTGATCATCCTCACTATGATTAAGACAGCTAACGCAGCTACTTTGGCATCACAAAGCAGCAACAGCTCTCCAGCAACCATGCCGAGACAACGGCTCTGCCATCTGCCACACCATAGGCAGCTGTTCCTACCAGTGCACGCAGCACTGCATCACCGGCCAGCCAGACCAGCTGAATGGCCGTAAAGGCCTGGTCTGCTACAAAGCAGCAAACGCTACTAGCGCAAACACAGCCAAACAAATGGCCCTTTTCAGGGCCCGCAAACTTTTTACGTGGTTGTCTATTAGACCATCGACATCCCACACTATATAAATCTTAGTACCATCACCCGGTTCATTTTGATTAACTTACTTCTACACTCTGAAGACAACGTTATCTCACCATTAACATAGCAGCAAATCATAATGTAAGCATATTTCAAGGAGGATATTTCAAAAGTGTGAACCACCACAAATATAAATCCCTCCCTGGTCCTCAAATCAGATAATATAATGTGACATGTATGCTGACGTCCAGAACTGTGAAACCAGCAGAGACAGCCGTTGCTAGGGAATGGCTCAGCAGCAATCATGTGGTCACCCCAACAGACACGAATGCAGCAGTGGAGTAACTGTGGGAAGTGGTGTTTTCTATGTGGTTTGTGCTGAGAGCTATGTCATCAACAGAATAACTGTTGGGAGAGGTGTTTTTGTGGGGTCTATGCCAAGGCTATATAAAGAGGACCAGTTGCCATTAGCAAAGAGAGGAGTCCTCAGATGGCAGCTAGAAGAGGAGGTTGGTGTGAGATGGCCCCAGCCTGGGAGTGAGAGAGTCAGTCAGTCTGAGTAGATTCCAAATCAAGAGTCTAAAAAAGAGCCAAGAGAGACTTGCAGAAGCTGGTAGCTGAGGCGAGGGACAGTTCAGGAATCTGGAGGAAGGGGAATGTCTGTCACTGGAAGCTGCTACCAAGCAGAACAGTGATATGGATAACATGTGTTTTGCATGTGACAATAAAGAGAAATGTGACATGAATAAAAACCCACATAATTAACTATGAGTCAACATTGTAAACATGTCAAAGTCCACTGTTGTTGTTCTAACTTGAAAATGGCATGAACTATTAAAGTACAAAGTGCAGATCTTTAGCATAACTACTATCAAGCACGGGGTTTTCATTTAACTCCAAACAATACACACTCTCTCGAACAGTCTCTGTTCCATTAGTTTCCATACAGATAATATCTAATAGTGATCCAGTAAAAATCACTATGATAGAGAAACATAACCTACAATACTGAAAACCAACTCTATAATTTCACTAAATGACAACAAAAAAAGTATTAATATAGCCATTGCCCCACCATCTTCTTAGCCATGCATGATGAGAGCACTTGTATCTACTCAGGCCACTGGTAATGTATACCACTCACTAGCTTATTCAAGCAATACAATTTTACCAATTAAAAAGTTATCAAAAGCTCACCACCATTTCTAAAGTTATGGAATGTGCAACCTCTGAGAAATAATTATTAACTCACACTTTTCCTTTACATTTTCTCAAAATCACTGTACACTCTGCAATATCTCAACTACTGTTTACATTACTAAATATGTACACATAACAACTGAGCATGTACTGAATATGGGGTGGGGCAAAGTGGCCAATACACAGCAACTGTCAATAATCTGTGGTGCTCTATTAAGGATGCCATATGTTGCAAACCACCTGAGACATTCTGATCAACTGCATTCCTGAAGCAATGTCAGCCATGTTGGAGAACACCTTGTTTGATATTTAAGATAATTTTCATCTCTTCAGGCCAGAGAAGAAATGTATTTCCATTAATTGCAAATATATTGCAAATGTTCTGGATTATGCTACCTCTCATCCAACCCTTGATCACAACAGTATAAAGGTTTTTTCACTGAGTGTTTAATCGTAATTATCGCAAGTCAATAATGTCCTTCTCCAATTAAGATTTCCTCAATTAGCATCTAAATTCACTAGTACAAACGAAAACTTTAAATGGCCATCTCACTGTATTCAGCATAATCATTCAGTTTAATACACTTACTGAACAACTGCAAACAACTGTCTTATAAATGCTTGCATATTTACAGAAGAGTTACTTTATAAGTTGATAATGTCAGGATTGTATTTTCCACACAAATTTTGGAGAGCTACAAATAGAATCCTCGCAGCTGATAATACAGAAAATCTTACAGTATCTGTAGGCAACTGATAGTCAACATGACAGACATGTTTCAATGGCCAAAACACTTATGTGACTAGTTTAAAAGTGAACATCAATAAATATGCATATACCATGTATATCAATCATAAAGTTAGGTAATCAAGACAGAAGTATTACCTGAACTTCATCTGGAGGTTTCTGGCGTGTTCTTCTAAAGAAACCTTGAGCCAATGCGCCAGGACCATATAAACGCTCCACCCTCTGCTGAATGAAAGACTTGGTAGCCCACACTGCATTATCCAAATTTGAGCCATTAGTTTGGGCTGCCAATGCATCAGAAGAGCCCACACTGTCGATCAAGCCACATGTGGTTAGCCCAGAGCAAACATTTTTCACATAGCTTGTTGTCTGTGCTCCATCCAGAAGACCCTTAAGTTGAGGTGAACCTGAATAACCCTGAGTTTTACATGTTGAAGCAGACTCCATGGAATTACTGGATACAAAAGCTGTACGCACATAGCTTTTTGTCTGAGATGTGAATTCTACTACTCGAACAGCTCCAGGCGATTGCTTTTGAGGGGACATTGTTGCAGGCGCCATGAGGGAATCTCTTGATGAAGTTTTTGGAGAATCTGGAGAACGCTTCAAGGGTGACGACAGGCTGGAACTATCTCTAGGAGAAGAAGTGACATGGGAACCCGGAGAATCTCTCAGGGCAGTCTTTGGTGATTCTGGTGAGCATCTGATAGGAGAAAACACTCCAAAACCTTCTCTAGGCACTGAAGTCAAAGAAGAGTTCTTATGAGGTGAAGAAAAATCTGTTACAGCTCTTGATTTTGTTGTTGTTTGTATAACTGAAGATTCATAACATGCTGAAGAAAATGAAGATTCAGTTGTCAACAGTGAGGACATGAAATTTTGTGTTGATTCTCGTATATTAGACGGTGAGTCAGAAAAAAATTCCTCCTTATTGGAACCACTATAACTATCTACATATCTAGAACTTTCTAAACGTGTATAATTAGATTCGGTTGCTGTGATACCTATTTTTTCAGAAACACCATTCACCATATGATGCATTGTTGCTGAAAATTTTCCCCCATCTCCAATCGTCCTTTGTGACTGAGGGCTCTGCATTTTGTTTTCCTTTTGTCCTACTTTATCCCCATTCATGTGACTTATCAGATGTGTTTGATTTCCACTACAATGTGTGCTTATGTTTGTACTACCACTTCCAGGTGGGGCTGCTTCTGTTCTAGCTGATCCTGATTTCAAGTGTGATACAGATTCCACTTTGTCAGCATCAACACCAACTAGGGCATTTGTTTTTGCTGGTGGTGCAACCAGAAAATTCCCACAGTCTGATTTGTAAGTTGGTATTAGATGGTTTTCAAAATGATCAGTTCCTTGTCGCTGGGGACTCACCTCATGACTTTTTATGATACCTAAACGTCCCGGGCTATGATCTCGTGAACGGAATCCTTCACGAAGTTTACTATCATAAGTCGTGATGCCACTATAGCCACTTACTGTGCAAGCCAGACCTAAATAAGACGGTTTTTTCCCTGAAAAACCATCACCATTTAATACATTCTCTCCAGTCTTCAGTGATTTGCTTCCATTAACTATCACACTTGGAACATCACAAGTTTTACTAGAACTGACAAGCTTTCCACTGTTTTGAAGCGTTGAACATTTAGGTGACTGACTTCCTATGACTGTGCCATCAGAGGATTCAAAGAGACGAGCAGTTCGCTTAACATATTCAGGTGTAGAGGCACCACCGTGGGATTTGGTAGCTACATAGTCAGGGTCAGGAGTTTTTGTTGACAGTTGCAGACTTCTTAGCGTACAGGCAGATACTGCACCCAAATCCACACATTCTGTAAAAGATACATATTTACATAAAATACATATTCATGTATGCATTAAAAATACTGTACTTTCTGTAAAACTGAAATACCTTAACATAAGAATAAATGTGGCATGTACATTTGTTGTTATGAAGTTATTCCTATTTCAAGATTATAAATACTGTTTTAAAGTTAGAGAACATGGCCCACAGTTCCCCAGGCATCTTACTTGAAGTACTGGCATGTCATGCAATAGTTATTTTAATGTTAAAAACAAAAGCAACATCATAATCCATTACCTCCCTCTGGATGAACCTCTGTACTGCTTGTATGAAAAGAAACTTGAAATCATAAATTGTCAGCTGTAATGCCTAATTAAATTTTATAAGCAATTCCTATCTCCCAAAATACATAAGAACACTAAAAGCTGCCTCCTTGCTAAAAAAAAAAAACTGTAAGAACCACGAGAGGAAAGCAATTCAAAAACAATTTTTGGACTTCAGCAGCAACACCACCATGACAACTGTAAATCGAGTGAGCTTAAATTAAGCACACCATGGCACTAAAACTATTAGCATCATCAGCATTGCAACCTGCAGCCAGAGCATACGATATGAAAAGCAGCTGCAAACAGTACCAAAACTAGACACTGCAGTGAATGTGACAAGTTCTTAAACCTTCAACCACTGTTTCCGAACCACAGAGTGAAGTTAAGTGTTATAAAGATGAACTTTACATACTTGTATTATGAGCTGTCGAATATAAATTTCAATTCATGGAGTACAAGAAAACACTTAAAAAATATATCAGGCATGTAATAACATATGCAGGAAAGAACGGGAGAAGAGAAAGTATTGACTTTTATGGCAAGTAATGAAACATTCATATTTCAGATGTAAAGTTCATCTTTGTAACTAAACACTGTACTATGTTGTCTTATCAGTCTTTACTTCTGAAGTACCACATAAAAAGCAAATTATTCTCCATAGATTTCATATAAGAAATAATGCCAGATGATGTTTATTCCACGTTCCATCATAACCAATAACATAATGGAATAATTGGTATGATGCCTGAAACAATAAGTGCCGATAACTGCTCTGTTCCTGTGCAGTATTTTTGATGACATGATACTCATATTATTTTCATGCTTTAAGAACACCCCTGTTCTATTTTTCTCTAAATATTTGGGCAACATAGACAAAATGTACTGCAAATTTTTGTTTGTGTCAGAAAATGTAAATACATCATGAGAACTACTTCAAGATGAGTTCTTGCAGAGTATGACACACCATCACATCATGTTGCCTCCAGAAAGTACCTGAAGCATCACTAGCTGTGATATCAGCATCAAGTGAGCAGCTGCCGATGGATTCATCAGAGGCCATGCTGTAGCTGTGCTGATGATGGCTGGACAGCTGGATTCGCAGCGTGTGAGGCCGCGATGTGGCCGCCACTTTAGCCTTCACCTTAGCGGCAGCAGTGCCACCGCTCACCTGACGATTGCTGCTGCAAACACCAGCTCCATCTCACACAGGTCTTTTGAGTTGTTGAGATGAATGTGTACACACATGCATAACAAGCGTGCAATTAACTAGTGCACACAATTACTGCATTGTGCCTTCTTCAACCATAAAAGCAACATGTTTTCAGCTAGCCATGCCATGTGCTCTCATGCATGATACATATAGTGCATTCTATCAGGTCTCAATAAACATTCCCACCAAAACCAGGATGTCATTTAAGTCCCATTTCACCAATTGTCTTTCAAATTGAATTATTTAAGAGCACATATGCAAATAATCATTTTAAAACAAACATAAATTTGGGAATAATTATATATTCTCATACAGTGTGATTACTTAGAAATATAAATTTTCATCTAATCAGTGATGGTCGATCTTCATGTTCATTTACCACAAAGGAAAGCTGACAACAGATGTCAAACAACAGACTTCAGTGCTTAGTAGATCACACTACTTCCCACAATCGATGCTCAAATGACTTTGAGGAAACTGTGATCACAATTTACAATCACTTATGTGACACCATAGTGCACATATGCACATTAATCAGACCTAAAAACACAAAACTACACCTTCCACATAAAGTAACAAATGCATAATACTCTGAGATTAACGTAAAAACTGATAAAAGCCTTTTACATAAAATATTGACTCACAATTCTTCACAGGACTTCGGTACATCAGCTACTACATATAGTCTGTTCTGTTCATGAACCACTTCTACATGGGACCAGCATCAGTTACTGATGGACTTGTAGCACCACTAACTCTTCCTACCAGGCATATCATTTTCTGTGTGTGTAAAGTGTAATTCCTAAAGAATTTAGTGATTTAAAATTGCAGAATATTTGATCTTCTGTCTATTTGCATAAAAACTGCAATGCTAAATTCATAAACTGAACTTTACACTACATATCTCCTATTATCAGTCTCCCAAATGACAAGAAGCAGCAACTTTTCTTTCCTTTGATTAAAAGTTTCCACTGTTATATTAAATTTATGAACATAATACATAATTTGAAAATATGCTCTATGCATTGGTATAGTCTGGAACTTAATTAACATGAATTCATGTTAATCTAACTAAATTAACTCCATGAAGCTGTATTTCTGAAGCTAACAGTCGCTCAGCTGCTAAAGAAATTCCCCACTTTTCATGGAGAATGGAGATTCAAGACACTGGTCATGACAACCACGGGAAATAAAACGCACACTTAAAAAAAATGCATGCATTTGCTGATATGGCATTAAAAAACTAAAATAAAATTATACCACTAATGTAAGAACCAAAATCACAGCAGTATCATCAAATCAGGACCAATTTAACAAAGAATCAGCAATACAGGCTGATGAGACTACAAATCAACACCCTTTCCAACTATTGTTAAATGTATAGGAACCAAGCAATTTGGCTCAAGCAGCAATTGCTTCCGAACTGGTGCCCGGCTCAAGTCCTGGCCAGGCCACTGACTACTGCAATTAAGGTTTATGTGGTTTGCGTCAGTCTCTCTAGGTAATTGCCAAGGTTGTAACTCAAAGCAGGCCTCAACAGTTTCCTTTCCTAGCCATTTCAATTCCACATTCAGTAACCATTTAATACTACATGGTATGAGCTACTGACATAACTGCTAAATAAGCATATAAACACATGAGCAAAATAAATCTAACAAATTTCAATTCAACATGTCATAGGACACTTCGCCTCAGGACAAGGGACATCTGACTTGAGACATAACAGTTGTCAGAATAATGATTCATTGCAGCTTTCACAGTTGGAGTTCAATCACCGTCAGGAGCAATAGGAACGCCTGTTTTGACCACCATGTCTGACATGACTCTGGGGTTGTATCCTTAAATTCAACTTATCTTTATTACTTCATGAACCCTGTGTGCACATAGGCATGTGTGCAGATATGTGCAGAGAGAGAGTGCGTGTGTGTTGTGTGTACGTGTGTGCTGAAAATAAAATCACAGCAGTAGAACGCAAAGTGTTCAAGAAGGTTTGTTATTAGGACAGCAGTCACAAGCATAAAAATTAACATCAACAGCAACATTTTCGATCATAACAAGTATTTTAATCAATTATCTCTCATATGAAAGTTACAAACATATGCTATATATGTTCTACTTGCCACGTTATGCAGTAGGCATTCTGTACAATGCATGAATTCTGATATTATCCAGCATATGCATGAAGGTTACCACAAAACGCAAATTCTATTTCTGTACATAATAAGTACAGACTATAAAACTTAAAAAAAAAAACAATAATGCAATACAATGCAACAAAACGCTACCTTGCAGATTCACTACAATCATGCATATTCATTAAACATTCTTCAAACTGCAGGAAAAACCCTAGTCAACGTGGCAGCACACAGTCAAATTAATTTCCAAAGAAAATCCAACGTGGTAGGAACAGTTACATATAACAGTTTGCAGGCTATTACAGCCTTCTGTTGACAACACTTGGCTATGCCATAATCTTGATAAGAAATTTGTAATTTTTAAAGGACTAAATAGTGTCATGTTTACATAACACAGATAAAATCAACAGACTAGAACCAATGTCAACAACACTGCATCTTATCAGCATTTGTTAACTACAATAAAATACAGTGTCATACATGAAGTCACAGGACCCACCCACAGAGAACAAAGTGTTCTGAGAAAAGTAATGGAGAGGGAATATTTATATACTAATTATATATTCTATATACAATAACAGTTTCTTCATTCATTATTGTTTACAGATTAAATACAGCTTAATTATAACATTAAGTTGCAAACATCATCTCAACATTAACATGGCTGAGTGCCTGCAAAGATCTTTGCACAAATATAATCGCAAATTACAGTAACACTAATCTACACTTATAAGGTCTGCAGCTGTCAAATTAATAACTTTAAATTTCCCCCACACCTGCATAACAATATCTTGAAATAAAAAATTGGAGAGAAAAAAATTCTATCATATCAGGAAATTTCAAAATATTTAAATAAAGATTTGGTAGTAAAATATACTGTATTAATGAGTGTGTTTAAATTACTGCTCATTGAATAAAAATAGCCAAGGACTACAGTAATATTTTCTAAAAACAAGAAGTGTTCAGCAATGACACATACAAATCCAAAATGATCCGAATTTCTGTCAAATCACAAACACACATCCTTATAAACGTGTGTATGTTACACATACTTCACTCAGAACTGTTCACAATTAACAACCTGCCACAACCCATTCATAGTGTTCTCTTAAAGTGTACTGACATGACATCAAGAAGACAAGTGCTCTCACTCAAGGGCCCCTTCCCCACATTCTGCATTCACAGACAGACACAGAATAGGGTGACCCTGTGTATTTTTGTCCTAGTTACCCCTCTTTTCCCTCATCACCACATGTGTAAACTGGATTTCCTATTTATAACGTTTGTCCCACAGCATTAATATCCCCCCCTTTACATTCCTAACCAAAGGTGTGTGTGTGTGTGTATCTACACACCAAAATACAGCACATGTCAAATGTAACTTTCAGTAGCACATGTGACATCACCAGCACCACTGCAGATGGGTCTATTTATGTCTTGACAACACTGTGTAGTCTAGTGGTCAGAGTTCCTGGCTACAGATCCAGAGATCAGGGTTTGATTCCTGGCACTAACAGATTTTCTGAGAAGTAGTGGGTCTGGGATGGTGTCCACTCACCCTTGTGAGTATAACTGAGGAGCTATTTAAAGGAAATAGCAGCTCCGGTCTAGAAAACTGAGATTAACGGCCGTGGAGATCTGTTGCGCTGACCACGTGACACCCTCTAACTGTAAAAGTTGGCACTAACTTCGCCGACAAGTGGTGGTAGCTTGGTCGGTATAGTTCGCTTGCGGAATATAGGCCACGGAGTTTGTTTTGTTTGTTTGTTTTTTGCTTGATTACACTACAGCACAAAAAGAATCCACATCCTAAGGTTTTGTGGTGAACTTGTAAGTTATTAATGTTCCACCATGAAAAAAAAAAAAGTGAAATTAAAGCTATGGAACATTATGATCACAACTGTACCTCTGTTTCACAAACGGCCTTTAACAGATCATTCGAAATCAAATTATTATGGAAGGGTGCAATATTTGGATATTTAATGTTCCTCTCTTTTACCTAAACCCATTGCAAAAAGAGGTGCTGAAATGTGGAGAACATTGCAACATGAAAGAACACTATATCTCAAGATCATCAATGATAGTAGTGGCCATGCCGTATGACAGGCGACTGATCGTCAGCTTCATATCATAGAAGCCTGGGTTCCACCTCGAGACAGGTCATGTGGGATTTGTGGTGAGTAAAGTGGCACTGGGGCAGGTTCTCTCAAAGTTACAGTTTTCCCTATCAATTCTAATTCCACCAACAGCTCCATATCCATTAACCATCCCATCATTGATGTTATATAGACCTGACACAGATGATGTAATTAAATAACTATAAAAAATCAAAGACCAAAGACTAGAATGACATTTTTCCTTACAATAAACAAACATTATTCAAAATCATAAGATGCCAAAACTACATACTGACCGCGCGTAATTATACACCCGTGTTCATACACCTGAGGATGACCTCTTGAGGTCGAAACATGTAGTGATATGTGATAAAAAAAACGTGTTGTGTAGTCGGTAAATTCACTCTACTATTAACCAATACTTCGGCTTCGTCATCCATAATTACATACTAAAAGAAAATTACACATTTCTGTATGATATTTTTTTCTGAAACAAATGAAATGTTTACTTGCATGTGGACTATCTTTTATGGTCAAGAATAAATAATTTCAGCTGCACAATCAATATTTTAATTAAATTTATATTTAAATACATGCAGACCCATAAATTCAGGTGGCAGGAAGCCTCATGTAATTATTATTGAAAATAAAGAGAATTTGGAAGTCTTTTGTTGTGTTTAGAAGATCTCTGTTGACTGCTGAATATACATGTTCAGAAA